CATGCCCCAAGCGCATATGCCATAACCTGGTTGCTTCTGACTCCTGTTCATCAGTAGAAGCTGCCACTGCTGCTGTCCCAACAATTGTACTACCCAGAAAGTAATACACATTGTTTTTTTTCCTGATTCCTTTCATTATCACCAGTGCACCAGAGATAATCCTTATAATCTCATCTTTTGCCCTCACTTCTAAACCTTTTAACTCTAAGGTTCCCACAGAGATGAGATTTCTTATTAAATCTGGTACATAATGGACACCTGTTAAGGTTCTGCTTGATCCAACCTGATTCCTCAAGCAAATTGAACCAATCCCAAGTGTGTCAAGAGGGGAATTATTTATTTTGTAGGCAATTCCACCTTTTAGTTCTTTAAAATCAAAGAATCATTCTCTATTAGGGGTCATATGGTGGCTACAAGCTGAATCTAACAACCATAAACTGGAACAGCTGGTTGATGGCATAGCAGCGAATGCGAAATCTGAATTTGCATCATCATACTCGACCACATTTGATTCTGAGTCAGTCTTTCCCCTTTCAGGTTTGCCTTTATTCTTTAGCCTGAAACATTCTTTCTTCCAGTGCTCTTTTTCTCGACAAAAGGCACATTCATCTTTGCTCAATTTGGACTTTGACTTCGATCTCCCTCTCCTTTCTATATTCTGACTCTTCGAACGACCTCTAACAACAAGAGCTTCTACTTCGACACTTGTGTTTTCTTGTTTGTCTTTCTTTCTCAATTCATAACTATACAAGGCAGCATTTACTTCACTAAGAGACACATCAATTTTCCCATGAAGTAGAGTAATTTCAAGATACTCAAACTCATCAGGAAGTGATCCCATCAACATCAGAGTCAGATCTTCGTCTTCAAAAGTCACGTCCATATTCATCAGATCAGTCACTAGCTAATTAAAGCTAGTAATGTGATCATTCATAGTGGTACTTGGTACATAGTTGAAGTGAAACAATCTCTTTTTCATGTAGAACTTGTTCTGACCGCTTTTCTTTAAAAATTTCTCCTCCAGTGTCTTTCATAATTTACTTGCAGAAGTTTTCTTAGAAATTGCATACTTCTTCTCTCTAGAAAGACACGATCGAATAGTGCCACATGTCAATCTATTGATCCTCTTCCATTCTTTCTCCTCAACATCATATGGTTTCTCTCCTTCAATAGCAATGTCTAGACCCTGCTAAATAGGGCATCTAGAACCTCACTTTGCCACATGTCGAAATGACCGGTGCCATCAAAAATCTCCACAGAAAATCTAGCATTTGTCAATGCATTTCTTACCAAAATTGAAGATGAAGAAGCTGTTGACAACAATGTGGATGTTTTTGTGCCGTCTTCCATTTTTTCTACAAATTCTATTTAATAGCTGTCAATGTGGAATGTTAATTAGCCCAAGGACATTTTTTTCTGATGTGGAAGATTAGCCTAAGCCGCAACCACAGAGCATACTAAAATAAACCAAGAGCTCTGATGCCAATTGTTGTGGAAATCGGGTTAATTTCCACCAATAATAACAAATTCACCTTGAAAACTATTATCTCGGTGACTAGTGTGAAAACGATTGTACTAAAAATCACCCCAATGTATATTCACAGGAAAGAGTGGAGGGGTCACAATGGTCCCTCTTAAAACCCACTCTCCTTAGACAGAACTACCAAGACAAGTAATTTTAATAGGACAATAATTAACAACAACTATACCCGACAATAGCTATTAAATAGACATAAAAAAGAACACCAAAATTTAACGAGGTTAGGCCAAAATTATGCCTAAGTCCTCGAACACTACTAAAATAATATTTCACTAATAGAAGAAATATTACAAAGAGAGAGATTACAAATAGCCTTTAATATAGAAGAAGGCTTATATTTGTGGGATGCTAAACTAATGAGGAGGATGGCTCTATTTATAACTAAAGAATTTACCCTCCTCCTTATACAAAACCAATGTGGGATTCAAAATTTGCCAAAAAAACCAACACCTCTTTCTAGGACATTAAAAATAGTCGGAGTGGCTGCAAAATGTAACGAAAAAATAGTTGTTTTCTATATCCATGAGGTAGATGTCTTGTAATGGCTTCCAAAGATCATTTATTCGGTTGCGCAAAGCAGTATAACTAATCTGACGGCCTAACAATTTAACAACAATCATTTGGCTAAGACTTTTCACGACAAGATTATAGACTCTGTTAGAGAAGTCAATTGAAATCATACCATCGACCATGCTACTTTCACATCTCCTTCAAGGATCTCGATATTGTCATCCTCTATCACGTCATCATTACAACAACAACAACAACAAAACCCAATTCCCATATGCAATGGGGTAAGGGGGAGGTATGGTAGTAGGCTGCCCCCAACGCCAGGTTGAGAGTAGCTTCCGTGGAAGACCTCCGGCAGTCAGAAAATTAAAAATATAGATAAAATGCAACCAACAACCTATCACGGTATGAAACAACCGCTGCAGGCTTCAGGTCAACATTCATTGTTGAGTCGCCTTGCGAAAGGGGTAGATTCGAATGCTTATCGCGATTGTAGCGAGGTTTTTTACTGGCTCTATCATCATCGGCGTTGCTATGGTTTTCCATTGAATGAATATGATTTTTCTCCCTTAAAATATTATATTAATATTAAATAAATAAAATAATATTTTTTTTAATGTTTATACTTTGAAGTGAAAAGTTAGAAAAATATTTTACCGAAAATTAGATGATAAAATATTTTACATAAAATACAAAGGAACTAGAAAAACTAATTACATTAGGAAAACCAATTACAACTATCAAACATAAAAAAATTAAAAAAGTATTTCCAAAAAAACGTTTTCCTACTATCAAACACACCCCAAATCTTATTTTAAATTTATTATCCTATTGGTAATAATTATTGGAATTCGAATGTTTTAGCCTGTTTCATTGAATTTTTTCTTACATAAAATTCAAAAAATTTAACATTATAAATTTGGATATTTAGTAGATTTAGTTGAAAACAAATCTTATAGCAATGATGGATATTTCAGTACACATATGATAAAAAATTAAGATGGTACATTAATTTTTTTAATTGTATTTTATAATCACTTCAGTATTTAAAGAAAATTTTGATTCATTTTCGTATCTTAATTTTTTTTCTTTCGTGAAATATAATGTTTCGTTTCGTTCTTTTATTACATTCATGCGAGATTGTTAATAGTACAATCTTAAAATGTCAATTGATTTTTTCTTGATAAAAGTTAAAAATAAATTAAACTAAATAATTTGAAATACCAAAGAAATAATAAAATACGACTTTAAGGATTAATATCTTAATCCTAAAGCACACTTTGTTTGAAAACTTCAAATACTGCAATGGCGGCTAAATTCCACGTGTAGAATATTATATTTCGTTTGATGTTCAGCGAGTTAGGTAAGTATATTTTCTTCATCCTAATAAATTTATCATATTTTTAGTCTGTACTTCTCAATAGTTTTATTTTTAAAATCAGTATAATTTAAAGGATAAAGTACACAAATGGTCCCCTGACTATAGGGTATTACATTATTAAGTTCATTGATTATTAAAAGTTATAAAATGATCCTCCAACTATACAATGTTGCTAGGGGTGTTCAAACGGTTAATTCAACCATCGACCGAACTAATTTACCATTAACCGAACTTTACTTTTTTAACCGTTAATCGACCGAACTTTTCTTTGAAAATATTAACTGAACCAAACAAAGTTCGATTATTTCGGTCAGTTAACTGAGTTAACCAAATTTTTTTATAACTTTTTATAATTAGATTAATTTAAATATAATATATGAATATTTTTTATTTGAGTTACAAATTAATTAGGTATTGATAATTTAATGAATATAGTGTGATTAAAAAATAATCGAGTATTAATTTTTAATGGGTTTGAGCTTAAAATAGGTTTATAATATATATAATATTTAATAATTTCGGTTAATTCGGTTAATTAACCAATTTTGAACCGAATTAACCGTTAACCGAATATTGAAAAAATTAATTGTTCCCCGACCAAATTAATCGAACTAATTCGGTTCGGTCGGTTAATTCGGTTAAAACAGAATAGTGAACACGCTAAGCGTTGCTTTGTTGAGTCCCTCGACTATTAAAAGTTACAAAATTGTCACTCGACTATTCATTAAAAGTTACAAAGTTGCTTTGTTGCTCTGTTAAAAATTGATGGTTGTCTAAGATAGACGTTAACATGATGACTGAGATATGATAGTCGTTTGAGATTCTGTGATTAAATTTATCATATCACAATCAACAGATTAACGTTTAGCTCAGAATACCGTCAATTTTTAACATAAAAGAACGAGTTTAGAACATAATGAATAGTCGAGTGACCATTTTGTAACTTTTAATAGTCGGAAGACTCAACAAACTAACACTCTATAGTCAGAGGATCATTTTGTAACTTTTAATAAAGTAATGCCGTATATGTATTTTAGTTAATTTAAAATATAAAATTTAATTAATTAAATAAAAACAATTACGACTTGGTAGAATTATATTATATATTTAAAGTATTTAAACTCCTGGTCAATAAATGTTTGGTCCACTGAAAGTACATTATATATTAAACGAGAGAATATAAATTTAATATTAAAAATGTATATTTAAAATCACAATCATAATACCTTAAATACAAATTGTATATTAGATATAAAAAATAGAACCAAAATTTTGTATATTATCAATGAAGAAAATAATTTCGTAAATAATTTCATAAATCCTAAACCCTAAACCAAATAAATACAACTATTAAGCCCATTATTGGGGCTTCGGATTAAGTTTACACTTGCACGTCTATTTGTAACCATCACCTAATTCACAAATCAAAAACAAAAATTTTTGTTCATAAACTTTAAAGAGTTTAAAATAATTTAATTAAAAAAGGAGTTTAAAATACTAATAAACACAACTTATATTTTATTTTACATAAATTTTATATCAACAATATTTGCAGCAACACCCGAAAATAGAAAGGTTAAAACCAAAAACCATCGATCAGATCACACGAAAGAATCGGAAAAAGAAAATGATGTATCGGCACCGCCGCCGAAGCTTTACCAGGGTCTGATAACGAATAGCACCACAAACAAGATGATGATCAGCAAAAGTATGATGGCATAGCAAGTCCATTTGCGGGTGTTTTTCTGGTAATTTCTCGCCGTTCGAAGCCGATCAGCTCCGTCTCTGACGAATGAATTAGCTCGGTTCACTTGACTCTCGATGTCGTCCAATTCTTCACCTTGGGTCTGGACCAGCACCGCCATGTCCAAAAACACTTGGTGCAGTTCTTTCAAATTCTTCTCCATGTCCTTAACGGCGTCGTGCCGTTCTTGAATCTCGTTGATTGTATCCAAAACTCTTCCCCTTCCTTGTTCTTGAATTGCTTTTTGCATAAATGTCTCACTCTCCCCTTTAAACAAACAAAAAAAATGTTAGAAACTATATTTTCCGATCAAGAGTAGTTTAACATGGAAAAAAATGATTAAACTGACCTGTTGAAATCAAATGATCGAGAGTCCGATCATCGGGGTTTTCTCCTGTGACTGTAAAATACCTTCTCTGAACAGTTTCTCGATACTGGGAAGATATCGTTTCTCTCAAACCATTAAAACTATCCATGGATTCTTTCAACTTCTTCCTCAACCCGTTCACGACCGACGTTCTCGTCCGGTCCGAGGACGATCCCGGTCCACACCCCGTCGTGTTCCGGTTCTCCTCGTTGGACCTATCAAGCTCTTCGAGCCTGGTTTTAATAACTTTAGCCTTCTTCAACGCCATGTTTACGTCGGAATCCATCTTGGCTCGCAATTCCTTCACCGCTTTCGCTTTGTGCAACGTCTTGCTCTGTTCGTGAGACGACGACAGCTCGCCGTTCAGCTTTTCGAGCTCTTTGAGCTCGTTGTTGATGGACTCGACGTCTTTGAAGAACTTGTCGAGGTTGTCGGCGGAGGAGGAGGTTGGTTGAGTCATCTGGATTTCGTGGTGACTAGGGGAAGCTTCGGCGCTTGGGGGGCCGGAGAAAGACTTCGACAACAGATCGTTCATCGCTGGTTTAACTGTTTTAAGAATAACTCATAAAACCCAGATTTTTTTATCAGAAGAAAATAATTTGAAACAGAGGTTTTAAGAGACGAGTATGGGAGGGAAATGGCGGAAAATATAGGTTTCTGAAGAGAAATAATGGATTGCTTATCGCTTATCGTGTAGAAAAGATGTCAGAGAATTCAGAGGAGAAATATCTTAGAAAGTGGAAGAAAGAAAAAGTCATAATTGATCAGCAGGGAAAAAATCGTGTATTTTGATTGAGTAAATTGGAATGTTCTATCTAATTGTTATTTGCTTTGATTTTAATTTGAATTTTTTTATTCTTGGCTTTGAACTTCTTGGTTGGTGGGAGGAATATAAATTATTTTATAATTTTTTCAATAAATGTGAACTATTTGACGGCCTATCATTTATTTTTTCAAAGATTATTTTACTTTTTTCAAAGAATTTTTTTTAAAGAATTGTTGTTTCTTGAGGTATATGCTAGAGTATAAGTGTTCAATATCAAATGATCGAGAGTTATCTTTGAACGAATATTATCTTATACTGACCTCAAATTAATAAAAAAAAACTATTTTACATATGAGCTGATATAGTAGTTAAAATAATTAATAGAATCATACATTTGGTTCTTAATACTTACATATTCGATTTATTTATTTCTTTTTTATGTCGTTTAACATTATATGCTATCTGTAACACTCATATCTCGTATATAGTTCCATATACGAGGGAAAATGTCACATCAAATGTATAAAACATGTATTGTTTAAAAGTTGGTAAAATTTTGTTTCATTTAAAATCGACATTTAAAATAATAATTGCATAAAAACTATAATATAAAATATTTAAATTACTATTCATTCACCACATGATAAAAAAGAGTTCAGACATTTTCGAATCAGAACATCAAAATAAAAATATATACATGTCAACTATGAATATCAAAAACATCAAGAAGATATCATACTAATTATGGATGTCTAAACTGGTCTGCCAAAATGTTGGATGTCATGACTGGCTCCCTACTCTACTGACGTCGATTTCCTTACGTGTAAACCAATCACACGATAAGTATTCTACTTAGTGATGCAACTTATGACATAAGTAACATACAAAATAAACATTTGTATATAAAACATTATTTAAATAAATCATGCATAAAATAAAACAAAAACAATTATTAAATTATTTTACTTTAAACTATGTATTAAATATGTACTTTTCTATTTTTAATTTGTATCGTTGTCTAATGTACTATCATGAGAAATCTATGGTACGTGAGTCATATGAGTAAGGGCCCACTCTACAGTCAAAACTGCTACTAGTAATACATGTAAAATGCATTAGGTTACTCCACCTAGTGTATCATTAAGACACTCGAGTAATATGAGTAATAGTGTCGTATCATATAACATATAAAATACCATGTAGATTACACCAGATCACTCCATCTCGGCACCACTGAGGCACACGAGTCATATGAGCAATTTATACTGGTGCAACTCGTAAGCTTGTACTTGTTCACTCTACCTCTTAGCATACCAATTGTACCATATACTCTTACTTACATATAATGAGCTTACTAAAAATCGTATGATATTTTGCATGTAATATAATCATATATTCAATTCAAATAAAATCTCGTAAATACTGTATTGGGGAGTTCATACTCAAAACAATTATACACTATAAAATAAAATAATTTGATAAAATATATATTCAATTACTACTTTAAAAAATCTTTTAAATAAAAACGATCGAGGTTGTCTCGTCGCAAGTCTTCTTCGTATTATTTCGTTAAAAAGTTAGTTGCACTCACATATTGCCTCACTACGCTTTAATGCTATTTTCGATGTACTCTCAAACTTAATCCTTTTTCCTTTAGTTCGATTTGTATTGATTTTTTATCGCGATCTACACATCAATGATTTCTCTATATAAATAATTTCGAATACGAATTAATATTTTAACTAATATAATAGATTTGAATCCGAATAAAATTCCAAAAATACCATCAAAGCATATTCGATACAGATTTTATCACCCTATTAAATGCTAACTTGAACTTCATCAATCTAATCAACAAACTCACCTCAATAACAACAAAGATGTGCTTACCCAACGAAAATTCCTTGTTATGAACCATATTATCACTTAAACCCAACAACAACAATCTTTGTCACACAACACTCGAATACAAGAAGCTCAATCCCACAAACACCAACGCTTCTACCACTAAACATTATCACCAATCTACTCAAACTTACCCAATCAATTCATGATTCTCGTTTGTGGTCAATATTAGTATGTTAATAATTGTTTCATCATTGAAATAAGTGGTGCGCCCTAACAGCTTCTCCAATTTCCTTGTTTCCCTTGCATTTTTTTATTCAGTCACAAAAGCTACAATATACAAATCGAAAAACCATTGCAAACGTATGTAATTGAACAACATAAATAAAAACACATTACTTTAGCTCTAAGAATCTCAGTTGATTCCATCAATCACACGTCAAAACAACCACAAATAACATTTCCTTTATGAATTCTATTTTGGCTAAATAACTAAACAAGCCCCTCTAGAAATTTTTCATCCACTTTCATGCTAAATCATGCTTCCATAACACTCCTAGAATCAAAATTCAACCTTATTTCTTTGAATTCTTATTTCCCCTTCATCCACCAAAATCACAACTTTCACAAATCAAGCATGAAACAATGAAATACTTACACCAAATTGTAGATAAACTAATGTAGGTTATTTTCTTATTTCACACTTTAGTTCAAAATCTAATTAAAATGATCAAAAATTGGGGGGGGGGGGGAAGCAAACTCAGCTTTGGTTATGGAGGTTCTGCAGTTTTCTGGAGAAGAGGAGCTGATTTCTTGAAATTTCTAACAAAAGTATCTCCCAATTTGACTTTTAAAAGTTAATTAAAATGAATTTTTAATTCAATTTAATCCAAAAGTCTAAATTACCGTTAATAAATCTTTATTTTTACCTCCATGCAACTCATTTATTTCTATTTTAATATTCTTAAATATCTATAAAAATCTCATTTCACAATTTTTCTTTGTGACCATCTAATTTTTCAAAATTTCATTTTAGTCACTAAATTGCACTATCTTACTTTATAGTGCAATTCTCACCAAATTCTACCAATCCAACTTAAATTACACTAATTAAAAATATTCATATGATTTTTCTACCCAAAAAATATCTTTCTTCAAATTTTTGTAGACTTCAGATTTGATCCGACTATCTGACTATCATTCTGATCTTTATCCTTTAATAAACTTTTATGAAAATTTCAGATAAAAAATCTGATACCCGCTAAAATAGTTGTATTCAGCTGAACTACTTACTTAAATATCCAAAATATAAGTTTTGAAAATTTATAGTATTAGTCCTAAACTTTTACAACTTTACACTTTGGTCCTTAAACTTTCAATTTTTTACATTCTAGTCTAGATTTTGGGATATTACATTATCCTTAGCAATTCTCTCCTTTGTCTTTCTTTTTTTTCCTTTAAGTTTGTATCGTTTTTCACATATCAGATCAATTTTTTCTTCTTTGATTTTCTTTAGTCAGCGACGGCACTGGCTTTGATGTTGGTTGTCGACCGCCAATTCTCTTTTCTCCTTTTTTCTTTTATTTTTTTAATAAGAATAATTATGCTCGTGTTGCACGTTTATCTCTGCATGTGTTACACGTTTATCTCTGTCTTTTTGGCACTTTGTTTTATTTTTTCTCGATCATTTGTCCATTCTTTTAATTATGTTTTCTTAGGGTTGGATTTGACGATGTCACGACTGATCAAGATGATGTTTATTCGAAATCTTATTGATCTTCCCTTCTATGAACCTTTGGATTGAATTTGGATGTGTGATTTTGCGTTTGTGGATAGTTTCTCACGAAGCTCGACTCTTATTTACATTTCTCGGTGGTCTTTCAATAGTTTAATTCTCTTTTGTTGTTTGCAGACAATCAGATTTATTTCTATATATTTTTGTTCAAGTCTTTTGGTTAGGTTTTTAACCTTCTCCATGTATGGTTCATATATGATCTAAAGTGACTAGTTTCAATGTTATAGGAAAAATCCAAATTATGTATTTAGTTTACGATGATAGTTGTAAACTCTAATTATAATTTCGATTATTTAACTTTTTTAATAATACTAGTGGCTTCTATTAAAAAAAACATTATATGCTATATATAAAAATGTTATACTTTATTAATAAATATGGTATTTATCTCATTGGTTAGATGTGCTCAATCTTCCTTAAGATCCAAATTCGAATTAATACCATGTCTAGGGGTGTTCAAACGGGTAATTAAATTAACATACCGAACTGAGTTACCCAAATTTCATTAATCAAAATTTTCCCCTTAACAGTTAATCGAACTGAATTAAGTTCGGTTAATTGATCGGTTAATCGAATTAACCGAAATTTATAAATAATATATTATATATTGAATATTTTTGGTTAATTTGATCGGTTAATTCGATTAAAACCGAGTTTAAACACCCCTAAAGCTAAATAATATATATATATAATATTAAATATTAAATAATTTTGGTTAATTCGATTAATTAACCGATTTCGAATTGTATTAACAGAAATCGAAGTTTGAAAAAAACCATTAACCGTTAATCGACCGAAATTTTGGTTCGGTCTGTTAATTAAGTTTTAACCGAATAATGAACACTCCTACTCATGCCTACTTTGCTTCGATCTATTTTTTTCTCCATTCAAGTGGTGACACAAGTCATCATTTAAATTTATTGAAGTGAATTATAATGAGGACTAAATTAATAAAATATATAAGCAATAAGGACCAAATGTACAACCATACCAATTATTTTAATTATCACATAAGTTTTTTCATTAAGTATTAATGGTAGGTAGATTGATTAACATCATTTAAATAGTTAAGTGATCCGATTAATAAAATTAAAAAAATTAATTAAATTGAAATCATCTCATAATTAAGTGCCATAAATGTAATTTACTCTTGATTTATTTATTTTTTATCTTCAGTACTATCTCTACGTATAATAAAAAAATCAAAAAAAAAAAAACCTTCAATATTCAAATCAGAAAAAAAATAAAAAAATAAGAAGAAAAAAATTTCTTAACATTCAAATAAAAAAAATCAAAAATC